ATTGTAAAGGAAATTTTGATTAAAATTGGAAAAAAATATTTTTTTCAATTGTTCCACAAGGTTCGGTTTTCGGTCCTATTTTATTAGTTTTGTATATAAAATAATGAAAAATAAATACGTTAAGTTGTGTCCTTGAATAAGATATGAAGATTATGTAACTGAGTAGGAAGAAAATGGTTTAGGGATTCGTTAGTTATTTATGTATCTCCAAGGTTCGTGGTTGTTCGGCAGAAGTTCTTGAGTGTTTTAGGGTGCGCGCAATTAGCGTTACAAAACTCTTCGCTCTCCCCACGCCGATAATAGTGTAATAGTTTTGGGCTAATTGTTGCAAGGAATTGAGTCATAACGCGCTCGGTGTTAACGTGTTTGCCGTGTATTATAAATGAGAACGGGGGGCGGCTTGAAACGGTGCGCTGAAGGCGGCGGCGGCGGCTGCTGCTGCGGCGTTTTAACGGTCGGGTATTCCCCGGGCGTGCGTTGCGCCCTCCGTGATCCCTTGTAATAGTGCGATGTAAACATTTTCGTGCGCGATTAACGCTTAAGGTCTTATGAAGAATTCATTATGATTGCTTAGCAAACCGCACTCCGCAACGAGAACACACACACCTTAAACCTTAAGGATTAATCCATCACGCTAGCTCAGCATACAAATTGCATGCTCTTACACCGGTAACAACAACAACTGCCAACTATTACATACACCGCGCGCGGTTTATACACATAACGCTAACGTCTAATGTCATTTAGTAATTCACGTTCGCGACGTGCAATAACTCTTTAAACTTTGAACCGTAAATGAACCAAAGCATTAAATCCTGTTGAACATAACATTTTCCATAAAATAGTTCCGCAAACTTCATCCTCATTCCTTAACTTTCCATCATGAAAATGTCACTTAAAGTTGACTTAAATCTTTGCTTTTCTAAATTTACAGATGAAATAAGTCAAATCTGAATTTATATACATTTATTGAATTGACTACAATTTTTATTGTTGTACTTTTCTTAATAAGCAATATTAAGAGTATAATGTAAAAAAATCTCATATATATATCTTTTAATAAAGAACATGAAATTATAAGATTTAGAAGAATCTTATATAATTTTCTTAATTTTGAAATTGGTAATACAACATTTTATTAAATCTCATCTATTTTCTCAATTTTCTTGAATTAAGAAATAAATAATTTTAAAAAAATGAAGTATCTTATATACTTTTCTTAATTTTCTGAATTAAGAAATTAGTAATAGAAAATTTAGAAGAATTTCATCTATTTTTTCTCAATTTTGAAATTGATAATAATTTTTTTTATAGAATTTTACTTATTTTCTCAATTTCCTTGAATTAAGAAATAATTAATAAAAAACATAGAAAAATCTTATGTGCTTTTCTTTATTTTCTGAATTAAGAAATTAGTAACAGAAAATTTCGAAAAATCTCATCTATTTTTCTCAATTTTCTAAATTTACAAATTAATAATAGAAAATTTAGAATAATACTTTTTCTTAATTTGGAATACTTACTTTTCCATTTTTTTAATACGTATATTAATATAATAAGATTTAGTAGAATCTTAAACACTTTTCAGTATTTACTGAATTAAGAAATTAATAATATAAAGTTAAGAAAAAAATGGTAAAAATTTCTTTATTTCCATTACATAATTTTTTTTTTTATTAAAACGTCTTTTTTATATAAAGAATGTTTATTTCTTAATATGAATTAATAATTTGATATAAACTTAAGTATTATATAAATTTCTTGAATAATATTCAAAAGAAAATAAAGTTTTCATCATATCTATAAACTTTGAAAGTTAAACTGAAAAGAATTCAATTGTATAATATTTACGTAATCGTTATTTTACAAATTTATGCTGTAATGTCAATGATAATAAACAATACTTCAACGGTAATTTTGCTTAAACCATCTGCATAAAATCTAGTCCATACATACGTTAATTTCACTACAATCTAGTATAATATAGTTGTATATTTCATGTACATACAAATCCATTTATGAATGCATTGATTCAGTAAGACCAACAATTGCATCCAACACAGCTCGATGCAGCTTTAGCTAACACTCAATTGAGATTACATCCACTACAACGGTCAAACATAATATCTGCATTGTATGGTCACCGGATTTCGCAATATTCCCATTATAAGGTTAGACAATTCATATTGTTTATAGTAGAAGTATTTATTATCAACTAAAATATTCAGTTTGTTAGTTTTATTAATATTATTTGTATCCAATTTAAATTATTTGCTTCTATTATTTTGTATTTAAATGAAGAAAATAAATATTTAATTGTTTATAGAAGTTAGTGTTTCTTAAACTTAAGTCACTTTTGAAAAACAAAACTATTAATAATAAATTACTAAATTTTTACTACCAACTTCAATATTATGTATTTTTATAGATGTGTTGATTTTTGTTGAAATAAATAGTCAGGTTTAATATTAGAATTTGGTTTATTTAAGATAATTACGTAATTTTCAATGAATTCAAAATGTTTATTTATTGGTATAAAAAATGGATCAAAGAGAGTAAAATATAAATTGTTATTGTTTTTAACGTGAAGATTCCTTATGAAAATACACACACGCATACACAAACCATGCGAATACGACCATCTGTTCGTCTCAGTTCAATCTTTATATTGAGGATCCCTTGTGGAAAACCAATCATTTTAATTAAAGCAAAACAATCCGATGTTTATTTTCTTTCAAGTTTCTCCCCATTGCCTCAGATTTCCACAATCCCGAAGTTTCCATTACCAACTAACTAAATATATATTTATTTATTATTTCTGTTTCTTCTGCTTCAGGTGATGACGTTGGGGTGGAAGCTCTGAAGGACGTTGAAGTCATCGTGCCGCAGGCCGTCAAAGTCGGCGATACCGTTACGCTGCAATGCCGTTACAACTTGGAGGAGGAGCCCTTGTACACACTGAAGTGGTACAAGGGCAGCCGCGAGTTCTACAGGTACATCCCAAAGGAGCTGCCGAGTACCCAGGTCTTCCCTTTCCAGGATATTGACGTGGACGTGAGTAAACATCCTTCGGCCAGATGGGACAAACACACTTGATTCGCATTAATTGCAGTTGGCCAAATCCAATGAGAACTCGATCGTGTTGAGAAACCTGAAGCCTGAGCACACGGGACGATATAGGTGCGAGGTTTCCTCTGATGCACCCAACTTTTACACGATGACCGTCGAAGGATTCATGTATGTTCTAGGTAAGATTATCTTCAGTCTACTCTACAAATAGCAAACAATAAGTAATTATTAAATTTCTAAATACAACAATACCTCGCATAGTACGAGTTGCACAAATAACTGTTTGAAACCGGACTAATTGAGGACCTTAAAACCCAATGAAAAGCATATAAAGAGACTAAACTGTATAATAGATACAAATATCATCTACAATTCTTCGCATAGTGCGGATTCCGGACTGTATAACGAAAAAGAAAGATCATCTACAATACCTCGCATAGTCCGGATTTCGCAAATAACCCTAACTGTTTGAAACCGTACTAATCGAGGACGTTAAAACCGAATTGAAAGCATAAAAAGAGTCTAAACTATATAAAGAAAAAAAAAAGATCATCTACAATACTTCGCATAGTGCGGATTCCGGACTGTATAACGAAAAAGAAAGATCATCAACAATACCTCGTATAGTGCGGATTCCGCAAATAACCCTAACTGTTTGAAACGGAACCAATGGAAGACGTTAAAACCGAATTGAAAGCATACAAAAGTCTAAATTGTATAAAGAAATAAGATCATCTACAATACTTCGCATAGTGCGGGTTCCGGACTATACAACGTAAAAAAAAGATCATCAACAATACCTCGCATAGTGCGGATTCCGCAAATAACCCTAACTGTTTGAATCCGAACTAATCGAGGACGTTAAAACCGAATTGAAAGCATAAAAAGTGTCTAAATTTTATAAAGAAAAAAAGTTCATCTACAATATTTTGCACAGTGCGGGTTCTGGATTCTATAACGAAAAAGAAAGATCATCAACAATACCTCGCATAGTGCGGATTCCGCAAATAACCCTAACTGTTTGAATTCGAACTAATCGAGGACATTAAAACCTAATTGAAATCTTAAAAGATCATCTACAATACTTCGTATAGTGCTGTTCCGGACTAATTGAGGACGTTAAAACCAAATTGACTATTTAAAGAAAAAAAGATCATTTATTTATAAACGAATAATTTTCTACTACTAATTTTGTAAAATTTAGTATAATTTTGTCAATAAAAAATTAGTTTGATAATAGTGAATCCGGACTAATCGAAACCGCACTATGCGAAGAATTGATGTATCATGAAATTAATATAACATAGTGCACGAATAACAATGAAATTAATACAATAAACCAGAAATTAACAGTAAAAATTATTAAATAAATAACATAAATAAAAATTTATGAATGAATATATACAATAACGTAAACATTTCGCTTATTATTTTATATTTATTGTATTACATAATAAATATGCACAAGTTATATATAGGAAATGATGTATAAACAATGTACATTTTGCTGTACACTTTAATACTGGAATGTTATTGATCACTCTGTCATGACCTGCATAATAAATCTGTTAATATCGATACGAAAATCAATACAGCAGTAGTAAATTATTCGTCAAAATGCTTTATATAATGATTGATGTTTTTTATACACATTTATAAAAACATACACATACCCGACATACATTTACGCAATGATTGATTACGTGATTTGTTGAAAGCTTTGCACTAAATAACAAAATAAACTCTTGGTATTATTTATTTATTACAAAAATAAATAAAATATTAATATATTTATAGAAATAACATATTTATAAAAATCAATCTTTTTGTCATGTTTATTATTTAGTCATGTCATGTTTATTTTTAGTTGTATTTTTTTCAAATCTTGTTCTATATCTTAAAATAAAGTTAATTTTCGTTATTTTTAATGATTTTCATTAGAAAACTATGAAAATTAGATTAGATTTTTTCAATATAATTAATTGCATTTATATAGTAACCAGCTGTAAATTTTTTACTAATATAATAATAGACACAAATCTAGAAATATTAAGTAATCAATTTGTGGAATATTATTATTTTTATCATTTAATTTCAAAGTTATTTTTAAACAAAATAGTAACGCTTCTTTTATGACATTTTTTTTATATAATTTATTAAATAAATAAGCCATAGTTATTGTAATTTAAAACATCTTTAATTAAATCATGAAAAAGAATAAAAGATTACAGAAAAAGAGATTAAAAACTGCGTTTTTCATAACAAAAGCAGGGGACAAAGTTCGTCGGTTACCGAATTAATATTTAATTTTAATAACGGCGAAAGCAACAGCCGACGTGAAAAAAAAACCATCATAAAACGAAAAAGAATGGAACATATACAAAATACTTAGTGCTGGAGAGAGATAGAGAGAAAACATCGACCGGTTTCACGTTAATTAATTTTTCGTATTTTTTCTTCCATCCCGACGCGTCTTTTTCTACTTCAATTAAAAACAAAACGGAATTTCTTTCGTTTTCTTCCTCTTTGCAGCATTTTTTTTGCATCTTCTCCTTCTTTCAATTACGTTCCAAATGAAAAAACAACAGTAGCACTTTTTTCTCTATCTCTCCCTCTGTGTTTTTTTTCCTCGAAGCGCTCATTTCTTTATGGAGAGAGTAAATTATGTATCATCCTTATTGTTTTAACTCTCTCGACTTTCTTTTGACAATCTGATGATGAAGCATGTTTAGAAAGCGCCTTGGCAAATCTCCATATTTTTTTCTTTTCGTAATGCGAAGCGGATAACAAAAAAATCAATTCTTATAAAGATGTTTCCAGAATAACGTATTATTATTTTCATTTATTATTCAATAGATTTTGTAGTATCTTGGAAATAATAAATTGTTTATTAACATAATGGTTATATAAGGAAATTTATATTACATACTTATATTTCATACATAATTTTTATATAGCAAGGGTGTTAGTGGAGTTAACTATCGCTCCCATTGAAAATTTAACGAACGGCGGATATATCCGCCCAATTTTTTACATATGAAACTTCGCTTATACAAAATTGCACTAATCGAGGCGCTACTAGTCTTTTTGAGATGGAACTATAGAAGCTTTGACTTTAGTTCTGTAGAGGTGCTACTTGTGGTACCGAAATATGCCACAACATAATAATATACAGCAGTTTTATAGAAAATAGTTGAAAATGTGATAATCAAAAAATTTAATACTATGTAACTATGATGCTCCAATTGACCTTGTGTGTGCACAACCTAAGTTTGATAGATTCAAAAGTGATATTATAATATGAAATCAATAATAGATATTCCTGTTATAAATTTCCTATACTGATTCAGCATGTTTCTTTGATTATATTTTATACAAAATAAAACTAAAGACATTGAGGAAAGTTTATCGATTTCCATATAACAAATGTTTATATATTTATTATGCAAGTTTAGCAAAATTAACAATTTACTTATTCTTAAGTTTTCTACATATTGAAGTCCATACATACCTTAGAAGCTCTAACTACAAAGTTAGTATTTATATTTATAATGAAATCAGCAATTAACTCTCTCGACTTTCTTTTGACAATCTGATGATGTAGCATGTTTAGAAAGCGCCTTGGCATATTTTTTTCTTTTCGTAATGCAAAGCGGATAACAAAAAAATCAATTCTTATAAAGATGTTTCCAGAATAACGTATTATTATTTTTATTTATTATTCAATAGATTTTCTAGTATCTTGGAAATAATAAATTGTTTATTAACATGATTGTTATTTAAGGAAATTTATATTACATACTTATATTTCATACATAAATTTTATATAGCAAAAGTGTTAGTGGAGTTAACTATCACTCCCATTGAAAATTGAACGAACGGCGGATATATCCGCCCTATCCATTACCTATGAGACTTCACTTATACAAAATTGCACTGTGGTGGCGCAGTCATCGAATCATCATCAGTTTTATAGAAAATAGTTGAAAATGTGATAATCAAAAATCTTTATCCACACCTTATGTGTGCCCAACCTTGATATATAGCATTTTCATAAAAAAAATATATAAGTTTGATACATTCAAAAGTGATGCTATAATATGAAATCAATAATAGATATTCCTGTTATAACTTTCCTAAACTAATTCAGCATGTTTCTTTGATTATACTTTATATAAAATAAAACTAAAGACATTGAGGAAAGTTTTTCGATAACAAATATTTATATGTTTATTATACAAGTGTATCAAAATTAACTATCTACTTATTCTTAAGTTTTCTACATATTGAAGTCCATACAAACCTTAGAAACTCTAACTACAAAGTTAGTAACTATATTTGTAATGAAATCAGCAATTCCAAAACTAAGTTTCAAGTGATATTAGAACTACTAATATTGAATCAAACAATAGTTTCTATACTTACGGGTAATATCCTAAGTTTCTAAAAGCTTAATTTAGAACTTTAGTTTGAAGGTGATTCTATTCATCAAATATATTTATAAGATATATTTGATATTGAAAGTACACGTTTTATTTAACTACAGAATAACCAAGTATGCTAACTACATAATTGCACATAAATGAAAAACTAGCAACGACTACCATTCGTATTAACAAATATTTCTATTGTGAAAGCTTCTGAAAATGTCTGCTAAATTTCTAAAAAAAAACACGAGTTGATTGAGACTTTCTCTATCCTTGATACTCGATAAATATAATACTTTTTTTCCATACTTTATTGTTGAATGAAATGTTATGTAACTTCCTGCAAAATGATTTGAATATCTACAAGATTTTTTTCTTATTATTACATAATAATTGAATTATCACAAGTAATTTCATTGCAAGTTTGTATAACGAGGAACTATTTTGTTCGGAAACTGAGTCGTTCGAGTTGATCATTTTGGGTTGAATCATATAATTCAGATTTTTTTGCAATTGCGTCAGGTCGAAATTAATAATATTCCACCCTAAAATGAAAAGAAAAGAGTAGAGTAAAATAAAAAAGGTGGGTGGTCTAAGAGAAAGGCACGGCGCGGTAATAAATGGCGGTAATTCCGGCGTGCACCCAACCCTCCTGGAGGACATAAATAATAAGAAATCACTGTTTCCCTCGCCATTTTTCTCTTTCGCAATCGGTAGCTCTGGTGCCTCTCCAAAAAAAAAACAAAAAAAACGACAGACACCTACGAATGGGTTAATTTCCTTC